AAAATATTGATTTTAAAGAATTCTACAGGGTGTCCTAGACCACCCGTCCACCCCCTCTGAAATGGAGGGAACTTTTTTTTTATTGAAAGCCGCAAAAATAATACCTACCAAATCGCGGATGCTCTATCTTTGGGTGGTATTACCCACTTCCGATTTCGACCAGAAGTGGGTTTATCTGACCGGAAGTTCATTTTTTCAAATCAGACATACATGTTTTTACTACAGATTATTATTATTATTATTAATATTATTATTATTATTATAAATGACCTTCGAACTCCAACTCTTCCTGGACTTTTTAAATTAAACAAGATGTTTTTATTTAGAAACGAAAAACCATGAATTACCAAGTCGAGGATCATTTGATTGTATTACCGATTTCCGGTCTCCACCGGAAGTGGGTTAAACTGACCGGAAGTCCATTTCTTTAATGGGATATACATTTTGGCTTCTTTTGAAAAGTGTTGAATTCCGAGAAGAAAGTTTCCAACAAAAGTAGCGTATTTTTGTACACAGAATCCAAATATGTAGTAAAAAAAATAAACGTGTTATATAAAAAAATGGACTTCCGGCCATTTTAACTCACTTCCGGTCCAAACCGGAAAACAGTTTAAGCCAAAAAGTTTGTGTTTTTCTGCGCAGAATCGGAATCTGTGGTTGATTTTGTTGCAGCATATCGAACATTTGCCAATAATAAACCACAATTTGTGACAACTCCCGCTGAATGTGAAATTTGCAATTTCATTTGTGGAAATAAGAGTTATAATCAATTTATTAATTGCGCAGTACTATAGGGAAATGTGTTAATGCAAATATTTTTTAAAAGCATGGATATTTTTAAAGAAAATTTTTTGTATATAAGTTATTTGTGTTATTTATTATTACCCTGAAGGTATTATATTCGTCAAAAACTATGTTATAACAAGATCTTGATTTTAAAATAAAATATTTTTTTAACCCGATTTCATGATTTTTATAAAAAAAACTTTGGCGATTTTTTTTCAGAAAGGGCGCTTTTCTTTTTAAACAATCTGGACATCCTGGGCCTAGGACACCCTGTATACCCTTTATACTAAAAGGGGGTTTTCCCTTATAAAATAACTGGACAACTTTGAGCGCTTTGAGCGACCTCTAAATATTTTTTTGATTACAAAATAAAAAAATAGGGATATTTTTTTTTGGTATAAGAGCATTCAAATTCCGACTTTACCTTTTCACATGCATTTTGGGCCACCCTAATGTCTACTAATTTTTATGTTTTAGTGTCCTCAAGTTTTGCCGCTAAGCATGCAAATTATTGCCAAGAACAAGTTGCTGCGTAGATGGAAAGCAAAAATAAATAAACTATAAGTTTCCCGACGCCAATGATCGAGATTTTTTGTGCGTGAGTGCTGGCGGTGATGACGTACTTAGTGATCACTGTTACCAAATATTTCCATGCCCTATTTCGAAAACAATGTTAAACCGAAGAATGCATTTTTATAACACAGGAGATGGACCAAAATTTTTCTTTGCAACCCGGAACTGTCACAGTTTTTAATTTTGAAGTATGCAAACAAGATTGGTGGATTAAAAATGCTAATCGTCATTTAAAGTACCAAACCGCGTATCGTCATTCTGCAAAACCGCGTAACTGACATTTGCTGCCAAAAATTGGATTTGCTCACACAAGCTCTTGGTTCAATCCTTATCCACTCGTCCTGAAATATACTAGCCAGATATGCGATTGCTTTATAAAAAAGAGAACCATTTTGAAATATAATTGTTTTTACTCTATAGAAAATAATTTTTGCATTTTGTTGATAAGCGGTTTTGTACTTTAAACGACGTAATACAGATGTATAGCTGCCACTCTATAAGATAAAGATATGAACAAATATTTCTGTAATTTAAATTTACATAAAAACCAATGGCTGAGATTTGTATGCCTACATTAAACCTCAATCGCGACTTAACCGTAATCAATTGGGTTCTGTTCAAGCGATTAAGCCGCGAATCCTTAATCTCATGACTTATTACACTATCAACACTCTGTCAACGCGTGGCCAAATGCATACATATCTACATGAGTATGTAGCTACATATGTATGTAACAAGTTAATTTTAAACTGGTATAAGCATAGTGAAAATATTAATCTCTGAAAATAGCTCATTACAAGCGTGCGGCCTTTACTCTTCGGCGAATTTATACACATATGTATGTATATTAATTAAAATATATGTATATTATTTTGTTTTTTAAGCGAGTCCATGTACGTACATTAGAGCGTAACAGAACAAAAAAATATCCACCGTACACCCCTGAGTCTAAATTATCTTTGCAAGGCAAGTTCTAAATATTTATATATGTAGATATATATATCTTAATATATAAAATAAGCAACGTGCTTTTCTTAATATATAAAAATCCCGTGTCACTGTGTTCGTTTACACTAATCTCCGCTTAACCGATTTCAATGAAATTTTGTGGGTGTGTATTCTTGGCTCCAACTCAAAAGATAGGATAGTTTTGAATACGTGAAAAAAAAATTTTTTCGTTGAAATTTATTCTATGCTTCTCGCAACGTTCTTAAAAATCCCGTGTAGCTATGTTCATATGTATGTTTATGTTGGGGAGAAATAGAAATAGGATAGCATCAAAATAATGTAGTATGTATTTATACATATAAACATGCGCACATCAAAAAAAAATTTACCGTTTGGACACCATCCAATGTTATCCATTCCCCTGGCTGTTGTTTGAACCGTAACCAGAGATGGTTTTTTTTTGTCAAACGTAGTCAACAATAAAAACAATATTTTGTAAAGTATGACGATGTTCTTGTCTCGAGGTGAAAATTTTCTGTGGTCCAAAGTTCATTGGCCTCAAATACCTCATTCTAGTACCTACCCACCGGATTTCAGTTCCCATTACCCAAGGGTACCACCCTAGTGGTAAATTAAAGCTTACCAAAAATCATAGACTTTTGTTAAGGAATACTTCCTCTTTCAGTAGAACTACATATTTAAAAAAAAAAAGAATAATTTATCGCCAAAAGTAATGTCACTGAAAAATGTAAAAACGCGAACCTTGGGTCCAGGCAAAAGATTTTTTTTTTTTAAATTGCCTTGCAAATTACTTTAGACTTAGCGGTGCACGGCGAGCTTTCTTTTTTTCTTTTAATGTGGTTCGGTCTAATGTACATAATTATTTTACGTATGTATGTAGGTATGCATCTCAGTGCATGCATTTAATAAACAAAATAATGTTGTTAGTAAACATACCAAAATATTAAGTAGTAAATAGTATCAACAGTCTGTAGGACATTTAATGCACGAGATTTGCATTGCGGATCGAGCGATTAAGCGAGTTTTAAGTGACGTCAATGCAATGGAAATTTTTCTAGCATTTTCATACCCAGTGAATAAAAATATATATATGTATGTACATATGCATGTATGTGTATTTTGCATTGGCAGTCAACGCGATAGATGTAAATCGAATTATTGAGAGTTTGATTAGGTCGCATCGGGTAAGTCAATAAAAAAAGTTTAGCAAGAGAATGTCTATTTCATAAGCATCTGATCACTCTCTGTTCATATCTGAAAAGCAACAACGTATTTTTTTTTATATATGTATGGTCGTTCTGCAGAAGTGAGCTGTGGGTTTGGTGTGCTATTAATCCATCACATTGTAGTGTTTAGTCACTTGAATATGTAGTTAGAATGGAATTTTTTGGTGAAAGGCGACATGTGCTAACCATTTTGCCAACTAAACGAAAGCGAATTCATGTAGGTGAACACCCAAACAAACCTTTGATGAGATGAATTTCTTTGCGTAGCCATTTGGCGCCACATGCCACGAAAAGACACGCGCCGTTCACGAGCTAAACGAACAAAATAAAAAATTCCACCGCGTTTTGGCTTATCATTGCAAATAAATACTCGTACATATAAATTTTAACGCAAATAAAACAATTTGCGGTCAAAGTAGATCTATGCAAAGCTAATGCTCGAGCCAGACGCCAATTATTTAATTCATTATTACATGCTACAACAAAAGGGGTGCCATCTACTCACGCCACTTAAAGCAACACCCACAATCAAAAGCATACACAAATGTATATGCACATTAGGGTGGTAAAAAAAAAAGCAAAGTCGGAATTTTAATGCTCTCACCCACTAGGATTCTTCTATAACGAAAAATATAATACCCTGTTTTTTTTTTAAATCAAAAACTAGAGGTCGCTCAAAGCGGTCAAAGTTTTCCATGTATTTTATATGGGGAAAAATAAGTTTTCATAGAAAGGGATAGAATTCTTGAAAATCAATATTTTGTTTCTCTTCAGGAGACTTTCAATAATAACAGCAAATTGTTTATTTGACCATTTTCTATTATCTTTTTTTTATGGGACACCTAAAATACCTCAAAAAATGCAATGAGGACCCATAAAAAATAAAAAATGGTAAAATAAACAATAGGGTATTATTACTGAAAATCTCTTGAAGTGAAACAGAGTCCTTCGATCGAAAAATATTAATTTTAAGAATTCTATACTATTTCCACGAAGAATGTTTTTTTCCCCATATAAAATACATATAAAACTTTGAGCACTTTGTTCGACCTCTAAATAATTTTTTATTTCAAAATAAAGAAACAAGGATATGATTTTTTCGGTATAGAATAATCCTAGAGGGTGAGAGCATTAAAGTTCGGACTTTGCTTTTTCCACATGCATTTTTGGACCACCCTATTGTACATACATATGCATGCAGGTACGAGTATGAGCATGTAATACAGAGAAACCCCCATTGCTACAAAAAAATTTTATAAAAGTACAGCAGCCATGATAATATTGTTGGCATTCATCTGATTTCTATCTATATTTTAAAATTTATAGTATTTTTTGTTTTTGCTAAAAATATCAT